GTTCGGTTCGGCTATAGTTCACACGCATAAATCGCGCAGAGTCAGGCCCAGAGTCAATATCAAAACTTCTAAAAACTGGGATGGTACCGGGAGCCTGTGAAGCTGCAACTGCTCTGAGCGCGGCCATCTTGGAAACCTTTTGGGAGCCTTTAGCTTATTATCCTGTCAGATATATAAACTCTTTTTCTCTAAAATTAGGTTGTTCAAAGCGTTATCGACAACAGTGAAGATATTAATTGTTCATAACCTTTCCACAGATTCCCACTTCAAACAATCTGAAGTATTGCTTTAGGCTGATTAAAATGATTTTTACATAAAATATGGCTCTAATCTAGCAAATATCCTTAACGATGGAATCACTTCATTTATCTACATTAATGGGTCTTTTTGAATAAATATAGTAATCCAGCCACTTACCTCATCATCCAAAGCAAGCCATTTCTCAATATCATCCATTACATTAGATTGAGTGATGGGAATCTGAGAAAGGAAGCAAAACAAAAGCTTGGTTACTAAAGTTCAACTTTAAAAACACAGATATATCAACATGCCACCAAAATACCAAAATCAAACAAGCATAAAAACAAAACAACAAGTTGCCACGGAGGCAATAAATGCAGAGCGTGTCCTGTATGAACATGGCTGAAAACAAACACTGTCATGCTCTAATATTCCCAAACCAGCATGCAAACCAGTGGGAGTGATCCCCAAAAGAGATCCAAGCAAAAACCACTCCGATCACAACACGAGCGAACACACGGAGCGTCTGACGTAGCGCTCGGACACGTCTATTTCAGAACGAGACGCACCATTCCCCTTTTAATCATCCAATCTAACTTTGGTGAGGAGCTGGAGGAGGAGGCTGGACTTGCATCCTTTATACACACAGAGGAAACACTCACTGACACAACAGCAGCATGTTTATCAGAGCAACAGTCAGATCTGCTGGTTTTTAGACCAGTTCCTACTTTGTACATGACTGTACATCGATACTGGGTCGTATTTATTGCATGTTGCCATAAAAAGTGGATGAAAATGTAACCTCGTGTCTTTAGTTGACCTTGGCAAGCAAAACATAAAAATGGCTATAACTCAAGTAAATTTTACATATTCATATAAAATGCAGTGTGGTAGTCATGGAGAGTCATCCCCAACGCACTAATACGAACAGATATAATAACAGAATGAGGGAAATATTTACAATATCCATCCTTTCAAGAAGTTCTAGTTTTTACTTAACCCTGTAAACCAGATAAACTAAACAACTGTCCAGATGACATGATTTAACCCTTTTTTGTGATTTATCTACCCGGATGATTGAGCTTTTAAACCTTTTTTTTTAAAAAAAAACAAAAATATCCTAAAATCTGATCATGACGTATCAAATCGTACAAACAAACCTGGTAAAATGTATAAATCACAACTTCACGGCATCTTTGCTTACCATTCCAGTGCTTTTTAAAGTGTTGTCCTGAACTTGAGTATCCACGGGGACGTCCTTCTTGTAACTGAAACACACGTTTTACAAGTCGGTTAACGAGTGTACCACGTACGGCGCAATCTACGCCCATCAACCAACCATTGTACAGCATCTATAGCAACGGCTCATACAAGCAAAGACCTTATATTCATTCAACCTTTATTTAGACAGGTAAATCCCATTGAGCCTCGAGGACTCATTTACAAGAGAGACCTGAATTAACAAAAAATGATGACAACAATAAACACTTGTAAAAAGTCATACAGATTTATTTATTTTTTAACAAATAGGATGGCTAAAAAAAGAAAAGCAACATAAAAACAGCTAGATTCTAAGGCGAATGTAGAAAACTAAAAACAGGAACATGTCTGCATTGGTCCCTGCCAGGAGTCCAACAGATTCTTAAAGCCACTTAGAGAGGTCAAGGTCGAGAGCTTCAAATCTTTTTGTAAGATATTCCAGGAAACAGGAGCGGAGTAGGAGAAGGCCCTTTTGCCTAGTTCAGTCCTCATTGAGGGAACACTGCAGGTAATAATGTCCTGAGAGTGCACGGTGTAGCTGCACTCACACAGAGACATGTAGGAGGAGATGTATGAAGGCAGCAGACCAAGAAGTGATTTAAAGATGAAAATGTACCAGTGAGAGAGTCTGCGTGAAGTTAATGATGTCCAGTTAACCAGTGAATACAGGGTGCAGTGGTGGGTACGATAATCACAGCCAGTTATGAATCTTAGTGCACCATGATAGACAGCATCCAACATCTGCAGGGTTCTTGTAGGAGCGTCCATGTAAATAATGTCACCGTAATCAATGGAGGGAAGGAAAGTCACAGATACAAGGTGTTTTCTAGCATTCAGAGTTAGACAGGATCTGTTTCTGAAAAAGAAACCCAGTTTAACTTTCAGTTTCTTTACCAAGTTTTCCACATGAAGCTTAAAAGAGAGATGTGAGTCGACCAAGATACCCAAATATTTATAAGAATCAACAAACTCAATGGGGACATCATTTGAGGATAAAATCAGAGGAAGAACTGCTGGGACCGACTTCCTGTTTGAAAAAAGCATCCCTTTGGTTTTGTTGGCATTTAGGACAAGTTTGAGGCAGAACAACATCTGGATGATGTTGAATGCAGATTTCAAAAGCTGGAAAGCCTTGGCAACAGTTTTAGCTCGACAATAAACAACTGTGTCATCAGCATAGAAATGTATGGATGCATCAGGGATGTTTTTACCTACATTATGTATGTAGATTGTAAAGAGGGTGGGTCCTAAGACTGAGCCTTGTGGTACACCATTGTTGACTGTTAAATAACTGGAGGAAGTACCATTATGTTGAACACATTGCCTCCGGTCTGAAAGATAGTTAGAGAACCAACCAATGGTGTGTTCTGAGAAACCAATTTCTGAGAGTTTATGACACAAGATGTTCTGATCCACAGTGTCAAAAGCTTTAGACAGGTCTAAGAAAAGTGCAGCACAATAATCCTTAGCATCCAGTGCTTCAACAACATCATTAAGAACCTTCAGTGAAGCAGTGGTTGTGCTGTGTTGTTTCCTGAAACCAGATTGATGTGGAGGTAAGATGTTAAATGAGTCCAGGTAAGTTTTGATTTGAGAGTTTATCAGTTTTTCTAGAACCTTGGCTAAAATGCAGAGTTTAGAGATTGGTCGATAGTTGTTCAGTGAGGTGGGGTCACCTCCCTTCAGCAAAGGAAGAACAAAGGCTGTTTTCCAAGAGTCTGGAATGGAGTTTTGTCTTATGGAGAGATTGAAGATGTGGGTCACAGGGACTGTGATGATATGAGCAGCCAGCCTTAAGAAATAAGGTGTATATAATACATATAATATTTGACCTTGATTTGTGACCTTGCCCTTGAAGCTGGGGTGATGAAAAGTGTTTGTGACACTCTGACTAGTGATGAAAACGTGAAGTTTGGTTAAATTAGAGTGAATTAGACGTAATGGACAAGAGATGGTTTATTGTCATTTGTTTACACAGTTGAACTGAAAATGGCCACATGGTTTGATTAAGAAGCAGAAACACATTAAGACACTTTAAATCCCTCTTGTTAACTGGTTTTATGTGCCTTAATGCCTCAATGCAGAGATAATTGTGTCAGTTTTATTTATAGTTGAATTTCCAGTTGAGCAGGTTCACAGACCTTCCAGCTGCAGCTGCATAAACTCAAATCAGCTTTTTACAAATCTGAACTTCCACGTTTGTTTACCTCGTTCTCTGTTGAGTTGAGACGTTCACTTTCTGTGATAACACGTCATCGGACTCACTTGTACCTGCAAAGGAAGAGCAGTTTAGTATTCCAAGATCAGGTGATCCTGAATCATGTGAAAATACTCAGTCATGCACTAAGCAAATCTGCTTCAGAGAAGTTTTCTAGTTTGTTGTTGGATTCTTTAATGAAAGCACTAAAATGAACAAAAGTCCAGAACCGCTGCTGTCGCCTTTGTGCTTGCTCAGGACAGGAGACTGCGACCAAGTGAAGATTCAACACAATCTGCTGCTTCCTCAGATAAATAACGTTACTAATTGACTTTTATCAATGTTTCTGTTCAGTGTCCTGAGATGACTTCTGTTGTGATTTGGCACTAAATAAATAAACTGAATTAAATTGAATTAGTTATGAATGTCATGTGAAATTTGGGCCTTTAATTATTTATTTAAACAATTCCAATAATTCTCAGTCGGGTCATCTGGACAGTTTCTTTTTTATAGAGACGTTTCGCCCTCTATCCAGATGGCTTCTTCAGTCAGAGGAGTTCCAGTAAACGGTTTCCCCACCAAGCAGTAAACTCCTTAAGTGGACCAACCAGTTTGCTGGAGCTAAGATGGTTTCTGGGGACCGTCCTGTCCCTCGTCGACTCCTCCCAGGCAGGCAGCCACAGCCAAAGTGGTTCAAGGTAACAAAGTTCATGCTCAACCATCATATTTAAACAATTCCTTCTCCAGGAGGAATAATTCCCCACACACGCCAAGCACAGCCGGGGCATGGCTTGTTTTCTGTTTCTAAAGCTTTGAAACATTTGTAGGAACCTCCTTGGGACCAACTAAAAGTTGTTCTCCATGACTTCTCTGAACTCCTCCCATGCCTGAGATTTTACTTCCACCACCACAGAAGCTGCAGTCCTTCTAGTCATCCTGTACTTGTCAGGAGTCTTCAGGGACAGTCGAGACCTAAAGGCTTGGTGCCCTCCATCACCACTACTGCCCACCAACAGGTCCTCTGTTTGCTGCCACAACAGGCAGCAATGAGCTTCAGGCCAGAGACCCTGAACATGGTACATTTGGATTCCAGTGTCCCCATATGCACATAACTGTTCCAGATGTGTGAGTTAAAGCATGTCTGCACACGTCTTACTTAACAGAACCTGAGCGGCATGAAAAGCAAAGCTAAAGGTTGAATACTTACTGAGTTTTGCCATCTGACTGGACAGGCTATCGGCTTTCGACAGGCTGAAGGAGCTGTCACTTCTAACCGATGGGACTCCTGACTGGCTGACGGGTGAAGCAAGGTCTGCTAGGTTGACGTAGGTGTGGCTCTGAAAGCAATGCAAGAGGAGTCGAAGAGCCAGGTGAATATTTTGACCCAACGAGTTAACCTTCCATACAGATATATAAACTGCATAAATCTATGGTGATCACTTCAGGGACAACTCATGCATTCTTGACTTTTTTTAACAAAGTATCCAGAGAAGCAAAAAGTTGACAAGTCTTGAAAAAAAGCTATCATAATTACACTTACTGATGCATGTTTATCTACTTGATATAGTTCTCAATGTCATGAAAATGCTATTTTATCTACTTCTATAACTGAGCCAACTTTTGCAATTTTAGACTCACACAAGGCACTGATGGGATTTGAACCCAGGACCTCCTGTTTACTAGGCAGGAGCTTTGGCCAACTAAGACAAGGCACCTTCGTTACCAAAGATGAGACATTGTATCAAAGGTTTCTGCAGACAGATGGACTTTAGGGATTCCATGGTAAGATTATTGTTCCACACTTTCCTAACAGAGCACTTCACTCTCAGACTGCAGGTTTACTTGTGGTTCCTAGAGTTTCCAATAGTAGAACGGGAGGAAGATCTTTCAGTTTTCAGGCTCCTCTCTTGTGGAACCAACTTCCAGTTTCTGTCCGTGAGGCTGACACATTGTCCACTTTTAACACTGGGCTTAAAACTTTCTTTTGAGATAAATCCTATAGTTCGGTTTGGCTTGGGTTACCCGAGCTATATCCCTTAGTTGTGCAGCTATAGGCTTAGACTGCTGGAGGACAAATTGACCACATGTCCTCACTCTGCTGCTGTCTTTACTTGTTCTACTCTACCTGTTTGTATTTGTAATTATTTATATCTTAACATGTTTTTTTGTCTTTCCTTCTATAGAAAGTTCACCTAGACCTGTCATTGTGTTCATTTCTCCTTCCTGTCCTCTCAAACCCAGCTGGTCGAAGCAGATAGCCGCTCGTCCTGAGCCTGGTTCTGCTGGAGGTTTCTTCCTGTTAAAAGGGAGTTTTTCCTTTCCACTGTCTCCTTTGTGCTTGCTCAAGGTGACAGACTGTGATGAAGTGAAGATTCAACACAATCTGATGCTTCTTTAGAAAAATAACTTTTACTAATTGGCATTTATAACATATGTGAATGTTTCTGTTCAGTGCCCTGAGACAACTTCTGTTGTGAATTGGGGCTGTATAAATAAACTGAACTGAATTAAGACAGCAGGAAGAAGAAGACCCGTGCTCAAAGCACTGAACTGTCTTTTTAATTTTTTAGAGGACTACATTATACCAAGTGGAAATAACATTTAACAACACAAAATCTAAGCCAAGTTATATTTGAAAAAGCATAAAAAGTTAATAGTTTGGAAAAGTCAGCTGAAATAGGACTCAAGTGAATGAACAGCTGGGATTTAAACTCAGGAGCTCCTGTTTACAACACACATGCGTTGGCTTATTAAGCTACAGCGACACCGTTTAGACAAGAAAATGTGATGGAGAACACTAACTGAAGGATGCTCAACCTCTTCTTAAATGTTCACGGTTTGTTTTTGGTGTTCACTCGTTTTAAACGGTTAGCTGTGAAGTAAAAACAACACGTCCTTTACCTTTTGCTCTGCGCTCTGACCGTTTGTTAATCGCATTTCAAACCTGCAAGAAACAGAACAAACAATCAAGAGGAGAAGCAAATGATTCTGAAACATTATTAAATGATATAAACAACCTGTGATAGCGTGTGAAGGCGGTGTTCATGTCATCATTAGTAGCCAGTAGCTCCTCGATCAGCTTCTCCTCACTGAGCCTGGGGATGATCTTCACTATCCTGCCCTGCATCTCCTTACAAACAGTGTACAGCTGCTAATGACACAATGAGATAGAGAATGTGTGGGTGGGGGAGGGATTTGAAGGGCCGGATGCCACACAGAGCATATAAAGCACGAGATCAGTTAAGGGTAATGACGTGTTACGCAACATGGAAGACGGAAGTCATTTTCCTGCTAATGCTCTCACTGACAAACAAATGTAAAACTCCCAGAAGTCATTTGGACCTCGTGCAGATCACTGATGGAGGTGCAAATGATTCGTTTAGCAAGAAGCTGGCATGTCTATAATGGGCTCCAGAAGACAAAATCCAGTGGTAAAGTCAGGAGTGGTAGTGTTATCAGGGAGTTGCTGCAAAATCTGACAATCACCCAAACAGACTTTGTGGACACATTTGATGGCAGCTGACAAGAGGCCACAGTTTGTACAAGGTTTAGTGGTCATATTGTGCAACCATCACCATGTGGGGCAGCGGTCCTCAAACATTTTTACATCTGAGCAGTTTTATATGGGACAACTTTCACACGGACCAATGGGGAGACAGAAGTCGTTTTTTTTACTCGTTGTTGCCAGGTTTAGCTTGTAGGTTTACTAGCTCAAGAACAATAGCTGCAACTGAATCGAGCGCAGGAAATGATGTGATCAGGTTTCAAAATATAATATCCCAACGACCAATATATATAATGCATAAAACATGCACACGCACACAAGTTTGTCTTTCTATCTTTACAGGGACTTTGCATTGACTTCCATTAATGTTTCATTCATTTCTATAGCCTAACCCTGACCCTTACCCATCCACAATTCATACCTTAGTCCTAAACCTAACCCCTAACTCACCAACAGCACTTCTTCTTATGGGGCCCGGGCTTTGGGCGCCATAAGGAGCAGATGGTCCTCACAATGTAGTATAAGTTGGGAAAATGGGCATTACAAGAGAACATAAACAAACACACACACGCAGCTTTTTTAAAAAGTGCAATATGTATTATTTCTGTGCAGCCTAGTATAAAATGACCCATGGACTAGTACTGGTCCTTGACTTGGAGGTTGGGAACAGTGGCATAATATCACAATAGCCCGATGCTGGAACAAATGAGTCCATGAGCACACACGCATCATGAAGGTTTCACTTGCACAAAACAGACAACACCAACAAAGGATCATTACACTGTGCATTTAACACTACAGAGCCCCGTGACATTTACACCTTTCATCAGGAAACAGAGACTGAACACTTCACAACCTCATGTGTCATTTCACAACAAGTCTCAACAACATCCAGGCTGTCTGAAGAAAAGGTTGGCATTAACAGCAGGCTGCATTTAGTGGCACTGCAACCAGGAGGCATCATATCTTCTTCTGCAGTGATACTTGGGTCTACATCCCAGAGGAGACCACTTTGTGACCGTACGGCAGCACAGAGGGAAGAGGACCAGTCCAGTCGATGATGTGGAGACACACCAGTGTTACTCCTGACATCATATTTTACTTGGACTGGTTGTCGACATAAAAGTGAAAGAAAATACGCACTATTTCACTTGAATTCACACTGAACAAGACTTTTGCACCAAGTACTGGCAAAATTCGACAACGCGCTACATCAGTGATGTCATAGGTTGCATGTCTCACCCCTCCTAGACAGCACCCATAGTTTTTGAACTGTGCCAGGGTGGGGTACATCCTTCTGGAATGGGACAATGCCAGCATGGATTGCCAGCTCTATTATCCATTTGATGTGAGGTTGTAATCATTACAGTCACGTGACCTTTCAGCACCATTCCACCTCTCTGTCTGAATGCTTCACTTTTTTATGTCAGGGAGTATATTTGTGTAATAAAGCACAAGTTTAGTTTTGTTTTCGGATAAATGTTTACCTCCAGCAGCTCCAAGTCAGCTTGTTTTACCGTGACCGGGTCCAAGTGGCTCATCATCTCGGACATTGTGGTCAGGTTGCTTCTCACCACGCCCAGCTCTGTTTTCAGCCTTTTCACCTGGAACATCAGGATTATTAAGTATGACACATCGCTGAAAACTGGGAAATACTGATGAGGGTTAGCGGTCAAAGAGAGCTTAGAGGCAGAGAAACAAAAAGTAGTTTGTTAACAAGAAAGAAGAGGAAGTTGTGTTTCTGGCTCCATCACCTGGCTGGGAGTGAAGGTACCGTTTCCCTCCAGAGCCAGTTTTAGCTCAGAGATCTGAGGCGGGATGAGAGGTTTAGAAGACAAGCACACAGCAGGTAAAGTAGCGACAGCAGGCCCGTTCCCAGCCGAAGTCTGACAGGCAGAGGCACCGAAAGGACAGGAAAGGACCAAAGATAAGACGGAGCAGGGAGCAATTAGCAGCAGAACATAAAACCAACACCGCCCGCACCTTTTTTGGGCCTTGAGCTAATGAATACTCATCGACGTGAGCGGGGAACTCCAGTCCTTTCCTTCGCAGATCTTCATACACGGACACCACGCCCGTTAGGTCGGGCGAGCTGCGGAATGCATCGGCCCATGCCTTGATGCGTGAAAAACCACAAACTACTGTCAGCCACGAAGCGATGAGGCGAGACCTAACCTTTGTTTAATTGCAGCTCACGCCCTACCTGTATGATGCTGAGGACTCTGTCGTGCACCACCTGTGGAGGGTTGTTCCTCGGGATGATCGCGCGCACCAGAACCCCCTCGATGAAATCCCGCGTGGTCACCATGGTGTGAAACCTGTAGCCGCAGTTTTTCACGCAGGTTTCCAGAACCTGCCGTCAAATGAGAACAAGATCAAAGACCTTCAAATCACTGAAGGATTGCTTATCACCCAGACTCTTTATGGAAACCTTTGAATAAATCAAGATCATCTTCTGATGAGAGGAACATTTAGCTGTTTTAGTTCAATCTTAACATAATGTTTTGGCCAATTTTATGTTATATTGTGAAATTTTGCCACATGTTAGTGCTCAAAGTATGTGTTGTGAATGCCTCTCAGTTACATCCCCATAAATCATTCATTCAGGGCCTTGGGGGGGCGATTGGGGGTGGGACCAGTGCTCCGGCTCTCCCTGGGTTGTTTGGATCTTTTGATCAGGGTTCCTGGTTGCAGTGGCCGGCCCTTTGGCTGGGGTGGCTGCCGGGTTCTGGCGGAGGGTCGGCTGTGTGTTCGTTGGTGGTGCATGGCGGCGGTCGGGGGCGTGGCTTCACTTTGACGGGGTGCTGGCTGGACGGCCTGATGTGATATTCGCGGTGGGGGGTGCTGTGTGTGTGGGGGTGCATGGGTGGCGTGCCAGGGCCTCTCCGGGTCTGTGGTGTGGGGCTGTAGGTAAGCATTGGTGTGCTGGGCCAGCCTTCCTTGGCTGTTGTTCCCTGCTGCTCTGGCCCCCGGCCTGGGGCCGGCTTGCAGTCGCTGTCAGGTTGGTGGGGCACATGGATGGCCTGACGGAGGGTCCGTCGGGCTGTCTCTGTGTGCCAGTTTATGTCTCAGGTTGGGTTTTGGGTGGTCTCCTATCTTGGATCAATTTTGCGCCCCCCCCCCCCCCCCCCCATTTGGTGTGTTGTATTCCCCTCCGGTGGTGGGCCCCCTTGCCGCCGGTGCATTGGCGGCTCTCAGCAGCTGGGGCTGGGAAGTGGGGTGTGTGCGGGCACGCTCTGGTGGCTGCCTGCCGGGGCCTGGGTGCCATGGCCTCTGTTCGGGGGTGGTATGACCTCGGGACTCGGGGCTCGGTGTCCATGGACGGATCTACTCTGGAGGGGCGGGTTGCCGACGGGGCCTGTAGACTCGTCTCTGCAGTCTCTTGGAGTTTCTGCATTGTGGTGGCTGGGGATCGCCCGGGGCTTCATTTTGCTTCTCTCTCTGGGGGAGTGCGGGTGTCCCTGTTGGGGAACTCCTGGAGTTCCGTGCTTGGGGGCCGCTGTGTGTCTGTGGTTCCGGTCTTCCCTGTGTTACCATCATGTCCTGTGGAGATGGGTCTGTGGGTCCCCACATCCACTATTGAACATTTTTATGGATAAACCTTCTAGTGATAAGCATGCTCACACAGGTGTTTAGATTAAGGTGTTTATCAGATACACACTCAGTTGGGTTGTGGTGGCCATCAAATATATCTTGTATTACCATGTACTGTATAAAATACTTTCTAATGATGTTACAAGTATCATTAAATATGTTTGTTGTTGTGGTTTCTCGGTTTTGTCTTGTATTTTTTTTCCGCAGGTCTACAGTCAGACTTCAATGATGTTGATTTGTGTTCTCTTTATCCCTCTCTCTCTCCTCTATTCCTATCTCCTTCTTTACATTTTAACTCTTCTCTCACTTTTCTGCTTTGTCATCTTTGTTTTTCGTCCACATGTCCATTACATCTGAAAATAAGCCCATAACAAATTCTAATAAAATTTAATTTATATATCAAGTGGAGCATTAAGGTCAGCCATAATGCTCTGCTTGTGAAAGTAAATCTGTTGGGCATCACTTTGACACTCAGACAATAATTCTAAATGTCACAATGCCGGACAGGACAAGGGGGAAAAAAATAAAATAAAAATCATTCATTCATTCTTTTGGCTTCTCCCTTAAGATTTGGCAATTATTTTGTCCTTCCTGACACAACCACAGACCACTGAGCTACCACAGCCCTCTGTGTGTTGCAGAGAGCTGCCATCTAAGGTGCCCGGGGGAGCAGATGGTGGGGGTTAAGGGCCTTGCTCAAGGGCCCAGGGTGGGGCAAATGAAGGTGGAGACAGATGTTGGTGTTTCACCTTTCACGTTTTGATGTTGTCGGTCTGGGGAGTTGAACTGGCGACCTTCTGATCACAGGCCCACCTTCTCCAACCTCTGTGCCACCACTCCCCCATCTGTCCCCACAAAATATTAGCTCAATATCTGTTAAACTGACTGAGCTATGATCATTTTAGCGTTTTCCAAGGTCTCGTAATGATTTCAAAAGTTGTGAATATCCTTCCAAAGATTACAATCTGAGAGTTTTGTTAAAATCTCTCCGGTGGTTCATGAGATTTTTTTTTGCTAACAGAGTTGATGCAAAGTTTTAAAAAGTAGATCCTACTTGATTAATTACAGCTCAGAGTAAATGTTTGGTATGACTCTCAGCCCAGAGATGCTGAAGGCGATGTCATGGTTGACAAATCTCTTCATGTCACATGAAGGACTGGTTGTCATTTTTAATAAAGTTGGACTGGAGAGTGTGTTCCAGTTTTCAAAGAAGGACACCTCAGCCCCCCAGGGAAGGTTCATTCTGGGGTGTTTGGAGGGTGGCTCCAACCGATTGTCCAATCTGAGACTCAGAAGGAGCAGTGTGTCTTCCATCCTGCTCTTGGAAAAGTGGACCAGATCTTCACTTTAGCGGCATTGCTAAGGGGGTCATGGGAGCTGGCCTCTCCAGTCTACGTGTGTGCGGACCTGGAGAAGACTTAATGACCGTGTCCTCAGAGACATTCTGTCGGGGAGTTTTGCAGGAGTATGGGGTGCCTGGCTTGCTTTTAAGGGCTATCCGGTCCCTGTCTAACCCAAGACGAAGCTGTGTCCACATTCTTGGCACAAAGTCGAGATCGTTCTCGGTGTGGGTTCGACTCCACCAGGGCTGCCCCTCGTCTCTGGTTCTGTTTGTGGTTTTCATGGACTGGATCTCAAGGTGCAGTTGTGGAGAGGAGGATGTCTGGTTTGGGAACCTCAAGGTCTCATCTCCACTTTATGTGGATGATGTGGTTCTGCAGGCGTCTTCAGGCCAAGACCTTCCATGTGCACTGGGGCGGTTTCACAGCCGAGTGTGAAGTGGCTGGAACGAAAGTCAGTTCCTCTAAGTCTGAGGTCATGGTTCTCCACTGCAAACACATGGAATAACCCCTCTGAGTGAGGGGAAGGGGGAAGTCTGGAGGAGTTTAAAAATCTAGGAGCCTTGTTCATGAGTGTTGGTAGGATGAAGCAGAAGATGGATCGACAAATTGTGTTTGTCAGTCGTGATGAAGAAATAGTTGAATTGAAAGGCAAAGTTCTTGAATTGTTGTTCCGTCTATGTTCCAACCCCTACCTGTTGCTATGAGGATTAAAAGCAAAAGAATAAGAACCTGGATACAAGCAGCCAAAATGAGCTTCTTTTCTAGGATGGTCGGGCTCATCCTTACAGAAAGGGCTGTTAGGGCTGAAAGGAGAGGTTTGGGCATCTTCTTAGGACGCCTCCTGGATGTCTCTCAAAGGTTTTCCAGACATGCCCCACTGTGAAGAGGCCCTGTGGCAGATCCAGAACTTGCTGGAGGGATTATCGTATATATCCTCTCTGGCCTGGGCACTCCTTGCCCTCAGGAGGAGCTGTAGGATGGCACTGGAGAGAGGGATATCAGAGTTTGTCTCCTGGACCTGATGTCTCAGCATCCCAACCATGAACAAGCGATAGAAGATGGATGGCTGTAGAACTGACTGAATTATAGCCATTTTTGTACTAGCTGATGTTGCTTAGCTGCTGCAGCCATCTTGAACTTGGCTGACTCCAAAAGTTAATGAGATGTAGATGTTCATCTAACGATAACTTTCAGAGAGTTTCAATAAAATCTGTCCAGTGATTCATGAAATATTTTGTTAAAAGATAAATTAATACGCACACAGACATGAGATAAACACTATCATCTCCATGTTGAAATTGACAGATAAACAGAGCCAACACTCACAGTAAGTGCCAACATGACCTCCTTAAAGTTCTTGTTGCCAACAATCCTCTTCTTTATGGCTCTTAATGCATCTTTGGGGCTGAAATCAGAGTTTACAACAATCAGAGACATGTACGCTCCAGGGAGTGGCTTGGGTTTGATGTTGACAGATAAACACACACACCCTTCCTCTGAGCTGTTGATCAGGTCACAGATTTCCATGTTGAGTTCCCAGTCCTCAGACGGTAAGCTGGAGTTGGTTGCACTCTCTGTTGAAATGAAGAGTAGAAACACGATGGCTACTGTACGTGCTACACGATAATAAAACTGGCATGGAAAACATTTACCTCCACATAATATTCATCAACATTACTTCTTTTTTCATTTACGCACAATAGGTGTGCAACTCTTCGCAACTTTGTAAGTTAACAATTAGTTCGCTGTGGCGACCCCTGAAGAAGGGAGCAGCCGAAAGAAGAAGAAAATAAAAGTAGGTGTGTAATGGTATGTGTGATACCGAACTGTCATGGCACAGATGTTTTGCTCGAGAACATTGAACTAGTCACAGGATGTAACCGTGCCCATCTACAGTAAATCAGCTGTGTGGAAAAATTGTCACAATTACCAAGTGATGATGGAAGACAAGAAGTCTGTGTATGACAAGCAGTCATGTCATATATTCTGTGCTGGAGTGTGGCAAGCCATCCATCCATCCATCCATCCATTATCTTTACCCGCTTCTTCCATTTTGGGTCACGGGGGTTGCCGGTGCCCATGTCCAACAATCACTGTGCAAGGGGCGGGGTACACCCTGGACAGGTCGCAAGTCCATCACAGGGACACATAGAGACAAACAACCATTCACTTTCTCATTCACACCTAGGGACAATTTAGAGTTACCAATCAGCCTAACATGCATGTTTTTGGTCTGTGGGAGGAAACCGGAGCACCCGGAGAAAACCCACGCATGCACGGAGAGAACATGCAAACTCCACCCAGAAAGGCCCCTGGACAGGGGTTTGAACCAAGGACCTGCTCGCTGAGAGGCAGCAGCTCTACCAGTTGCGCCACCGTGCTGGTGTGGCAAGCTATTTGTTTAATTATTAGACATCACTAATTTCAAAAGTCATTGTCCCAAACTAGCACTCAGCTAGCTGGTAAGCTAGGTAAGTTAACATTTTATTATGTGAATGCTTCTAAACGCACGGTGGCGCAGTTGGTAGAGCTGCTGCCTCTCAGCGAACAGGTCGCCCCGGGTTAAATCCCGGCCAGGGGCCTTTCTGGGTGGAGTTTGCATGTTCTCTCTGTGCATGCGTGGGTTTTCTCCGGGTGCTCCGGTTTCCTCCCACAGTCCAAAAACATGCATGTTAGGCTGATTGGTAACTCTAAATTGTCCCTAGGTGTGAGTGAGAGAGTGAATGATTGTTTGTCTCATGTCCCTGTGATGGACTGGAGACCTGTCCAGGGTGTCCCCCGCCTCTTGCACAGGGATGGCTGGACATGGACACCAGTGACCCCTGCGACCGAAAAGGAAGAAGCACGTAAAGATAATGGATGGATGGATGGATGCTTCTAAACCTTTGACTCGATTAAGATCCATTTTTCTTGTGTACATTTTCAGCACACAACTTGTTCTACAGTTTGTGCTATTTCGACAACTCATGCATCAAAACATTCGGCTCATTCGGGTCATTCCTGCTGTGACTTGATATTTGTGCAGTTTTTACGTTTGGAAACCGTTAGCCTTTTCTGCCATGTTTTTCCTCACTGAAATGCGTGGAGTTCTTCACGTCCTTCAAACCCTTTGAGATCTTTCACTGCTCATTTCAGCGTTCGTTCAGGTTCAGCTTTTTCCGGGTCTTTGTACTTTCTTCTGCTCATTTAAGCTTTTTTCAGCTATTTTTATTTATGTATTGTTTATTTTACAAATTTTGTCCTTTTGTTCTTTCTAATAATTTCACAATTTTATGGTTCTTTGGTTCCTATTTCTGCTAATAGTAGTTTTTTCTACACATTTCTGCCATTTTTCTGCTGCCTTCTGCTTTCTTTCCTGCTTTTAGCAAATGTCAGCTGTTCAAATTCAACACAAATTAACGGTTTAAGGATGAAACCATTTCAGCTAGTTGCAACTTCCTCAGCAGCTTTCGGTAAAAACCATTCAGCACCAAGTACTCACTCTGTATTTTCACAGGAAATGCCAATTCTCTAGTTTATTTTGTATTTTCACAATGGAAGACTTTACTCAGCTCTGTCTTCTCATACTTTACATCAAGTCTAGGTCAAAATAATTGAAGCAAGCTTGTTTTTTTATTCGTTTTAAAAATAAAAAATTCAATAGTTAAGATCTCACAAAGCTCTTTGAATGACCTCTGTTTGGACAAATAAAGTTTTATTCTGACTAAACCAACTGCTCTAATAGACACATTATACTATTGCACGCATCAATAAAAACAGATTTTTATGTAATAGTAGGTAACAACCCATAATACAGCTCATTATGGTACATGCCAGGTACTGTAGTCCCTCGCTATTTCGCGGTTCGACTTTCATGGACTCGCTGTATTGCAGTTTGTGTACGTACAGTTCATAATATTTTCCAAAATAACATTAATAATAAAATAAAAAAGTGCCACCATTTTGTAGTTTTCTATCATTAAGCCTTCATTTTGCTAATCTAAAGAACTACTTTACCCAGAAGCCATCAGTTCACTTCCCAGAAGTCAACACTGCTTCCAGCCGCTGCTTGCTGCAAATGGAGGGAAAGTTTTGCAAAACGAAGGCAGAAGTTCTGTGAGGATCCGATCACAGCAGATAACTCTGAAGCTGAACTCATCCTTCAAGTTGTATCTTCACTACTGAGTAGCTGCAGGTGATCTGGACTCAGTGTGACCCGGATCCTGGGATCTGCAGGAAACAGACGGCTGTGGGGTTCAGTCAGGTTCTGATCATGCGGTGCTTATCTGGACCGGGCCAGAGGTGGTGGTTTAAATCCTGTGCAGCCCTGGAGCAGCAGCACATGTACAACAAGCTGGATGGAGCGGTGGGCTTCAGTCATGCTGCACTGGGACTTTTTTCATCTATCGGGTCGGACCGGAACCGAGCTGCTCCTGTACTGCAGAGTCTGGTTAGTAAAATTTGATAAGATTCTGTACGTACAAGTACTGTATGTTGTTAAAATTAGTAGGTTTAAGTGTTTAGAGGACTGATTGTGGGCTTCATTGCTGCAGGATCGGTCTGCAGAAACAAACAAGAGTCAGAATAGAACAGAGTTTGACCGGAACCAGAGCTGTTGATGTTCTGCAGAGCTAGTAAGTAAAATTTAGTAACATGTCATTAAAATGACGTAGGTTTAAGAGTTTAGAACATTCCAAGAGTGTGCGAAGGGTTTCTAAAGTCTTAATATAAAGTTTACTGTACTTTAACTTGGACTTGGACTACTGTACTCCTACTTTACGGCTTTTCACTTGTCGCGGGACTTCAAGGTGTGGAACACCCACGATAAACAAGGGACTACTGTATCTACTGGGTACGTCCCAGTTACTTACTGGATATTTACCAGGTAAGTTACTTGTTACTAAGCTGGTACGTACCTGGGTTGTACTATGTAGTGACTTTTCACCTTGTTCTTGTTCTCTTGTGATTGATTGATTGATTGATTGATTGATATAATATAATATACTGTAAGTACCAGATACATACCTGGTACTTACAAAAATCTGCAGGGCTGTATTATGCTACCTAACTGTGTAATGTGAAACTAATAATAGTGTAAAGGTTTATATAAGTTTCCCATGGACTGCTGGGAAATTTTGAACATTAAAATTGTTTTAAGATGGCAGTAACTTACTTTGGTCTTATCTGCCCTCGGTCTAGGTGTTAGTGCATCAGCTCTGTTGACAAACTAAGAAGTTCTCTAGTCACAGAACCTCGTTCAATATAGTATTTCTTTGTCTTCAGTATTTCTCTGCAGTTAACCCATGGCTCTGTGATGGAGGACTTTAAGGCTTTGTCTGGACTCTGTGTCTGCTTTAAGCTAAATAAGACCGTGTCCCAGCTCTTTTAACAAAACACCACCGACCTTATTACTGTGTAGATACTGATACACCTCAGAGCTTTTCAGGTTGTTCATCACTTCACCATCAGAAGAACCGAGTCAGTTATACGCTAGTAGATGTAATCTGCAGCCACTTGTTCAGCTCGTCCTCCATCCCTCGTCCTCAGCAGGCAGTGGTATGATTATAGTGTCCTGTTTGAGCTCTGACAGCTGGTGTTCCTACATGTTTAAGTTAAATCCACAACGCTCGGAGAAGCTACATCAGCTCGTACGGTTTGCACATAAACAAACGTCTGCGCAAACCCATCTACGACAGGTAAGACGTTAACTGTTCTTAATCCACTAGAGGTCAAATGGACAGGCGAACCCTGCACAGAGGGATTAGTTAAGTTGCTTATTCAGTGGAATAAACAGCAAAGTGTTGACAGTTGCATCATGCAGTGTTGACAGGAGGCTGGGATCAGGTGGAAACAGGAAAAGTCAACATGGGTGGATCTTTAAAGTCCTGAGGTGTGAACAGGCAGAGACGTGTTTAAGTCACACTGGAGCTGGTTTACCAGTCCGACGGCCTGCTCCGTCAGGAAATGAAGACGCGTTGTGCTAACCTTAATAAAGGCAGCAGCTGCCCCACATTTGGGTCAGTGCGTGTCCCGCCCAGTTCTGTTCGGGCTCGAAAACAGACCCAACTCTGACCAATGACCGGTGTCCCAACACCTCCCTCCATCCTGCCTCAGCCATTGTCCAGAGGAGGCTCTATCACCACGAGCCCATATCAAAGCCCTTTAATTTGGGCTTTCTGTCAAACGCTATAATATAAAGGCGCATTAAAACCAAACCGCAGCTCGTGTAATGATGCAGACGCAGCAGGCCGGCCGCCTGCTCTGCCTGTAATTTGCAGCGCGTGTTCCTGCGGGGCTCACCTATCCGCTGCCCCACCGGCGTGCTGAACGGGTTCCCCAACAGAAACTCCATGATGGTGGACGGACAGGGCCCCCGGGCCGAGCCGACCCGTGCCGCAACAACAAGCCGCTCCAAACCTTACTAAAGTGGGGCACGAACCGAACCCGCTCGGGTTTTAAAGGGAAAGCAGCCCGCAGTTATCAGACGAGATAACGTTAGGAGGGTGAAACAGCGCCCCCTGCTGGCAGCCTTCATTACTGCTCGGATAGGTTGCCAAATGTAGAAATGACGAAATAGCTCACTTTCGCTTAAAATGCCCGTATTTGGATCCAAACTGTCTAATGTGCTAAGTGAGTGTACACTTTCACGGCCAAAATGCAAAAATCACTGCATTTTCATTATTGTTTATCGCAGGTATAAACACGTAACGCACGCATCTTTTCACGTATCATCGTAAAAACGCGTCAATTTGTGTATATTTGGCAACCCTCCAGCTCAATCAGTCTGTAATCCTGGGGATTGTAATTTTTTTTCATTCAACTTTATTTAGACAGGTAAATCCCATTGCGCCTCGGAGAGACAGCAAGCTCAAATCACGGTAGTGGCAGTGACTCGAGGACTCATTTACAAGAGAGACCTGATTTCAGCAAACAATGATGACAACAATCGACAACAGCGACAACAATAAACAGTTATAACAAGTCATACAGATTTTTTTTTTTTTTTTTTTACAAATAGGAAGGCTAAAAAAAAGAAAAGTAACAAAAATCAGCTAGATTCTAAGGTGAATGTAATAAACTAAACACCATCCAGGACTGAAGACAGGTTTATTTAAAAACAGATTTATGTCACAAGCTCCACATTTTAAAAATACAAATAATTATTTTTTGTAGTTGTATTATTCTGAAATACTTTCAAGAGATAATTATAGCAATAACCATGAAAAAAAGTGTTCCAGTTGCTATTAATTTTCATATATTTTCACAAAGATGGGGGATTTTATTTCAAGATTGTTTGTAATAAATTTTCCTTATTCAAGTATATTTTCCACAAAAGTCCAATCTTTAGTTTTACTGTTTTTATCCTGCTGCACAACAGAATAACTCGTCTAAAATAGCATTAGTTCAAATCTTTTTAAAGAAGGCTCTGTTTAAATGTTATGGACAAACAATATCTTACCTGTGGAAGGTAACTCTTCAGCACTTCAGCTTGATGTGTCCTATATGTTTTAGTAGCGTTAAGGTGAGTCTATAGAGTGTGTCGGTGTCACATGATCAATCTGATCAACTTGTAAACCCCAACAGGAACAAGAACAGTCATCTCCAAGTGGCTGCTGACTCACAGAGTCAGAGAGGTTTTATTGTCATTTCAGCTAGGTACAAGTACATATTGAAATGAAACAGTGTGCCCCAGGATCACAGTGCAACACAGGACATAACGTACAAAACAAAACAACACACGGTGCAGATGCACAACGGAACAATATATACAAACAGACCTATAATAAATGCAAAAAGACATCTAATCTAATCTACACAATCTAATCTAATTCTAATCTAAACAAATGATTAAGAGATGAGACTAGAGACATGTGTTGATTAGTACATGTGTAGTACATGAGGCAGAAACATGTTCTGATATGTGGTTAGCAGCACAAAGTTTATAGGGCCTATGGAGCTCAGGCTTTGGGCCCCATAAGGACCAGTTGGTCCCAAATGGGCCTTACAAGATAACAAATACAAAGACGACCAATCCCCCTCCCCCCCCCCCCCAACACAGACACTATTTTACCCTAAAAATCACCTTTTATTCTCTGTGTACAAGCACTGATAACACCAGCATATTACCACAAAATAATGTTTAAAGGCAGAACTCAATCAAGCCAAAAATACACAAATAAATAAATATTGCAATTTTAAGTTATTTTGTTCTGAGCAAAAGATGGATTTTTTTTTTAATTTAATTTTAAATATCACCCTTTTGAATTAAACAAAGTTCCATACCTGCAAAGTCACTCTTTGTGTCAAGCTTCAGGAGTGTTATCACCATGCACACTATGAAGGTCGCCATGTTTGAAAATGACATTTCATTAACAACAAAGTCCATGCTCAATAATCCAGGATTACAATCCAACATTTTTCAGTCAGGTCATCTGGACAGTTTCTTTTTTTGTGCTGAAATGTTTCACCTTCCATCCAGAAGGCTTCATCAGTCAAGGAAACACACAACACAAAGCTGATTCTTCCCCCAACAGCTTACTCCAAAGTGGAACAAACCAGTTCTGTTGGTGATAAGATGGTCTCTTTGGCACGCCCCCTCCTCCATTGCCGGCCCTCTTCCTTGTTGACAGACGTGTCAAACTGGTTGAAAGTCAACTGGTCCAGATGACCTGACTGAAAAATGTTGAATTGTATACCTGGATTATTGAGCATGGACTTTGTTGTTTTATGTGAAAAAAAAAAAAAGATTTGATAAAATTCAGTTCCTCTGAAAATAAGAACATCTCAAGACTAATAAACAGTTTTTATCCAGACTTGTTGTCCTGAAGTTGAGCAACGTGCAGTCACTCAGTGCTCGACTGGGACTCCTCTAGCATCGGTGCAGTGTGGCCATCAGGACCTGATGAGGGGTTCTGGTCAGTCAGGTCCAGTGGCACCGTGAGGTCATTAAACCAGAAGACCAGCAGCAGCAGGTGAAACAGGTTTTCAAACCATCACTGACTAAAGATACTTCCCCCTGGACCTGAAGCATCCTGGACTCTGAGACCTTGTTTTCCAAAT